AACACGATGAGTGAAGTTTAGACCAAAAAGTTCTACTTTGGTCTCATCTGACCACATGACTTTCTCCCATGCCTCCTCTGGATCATCCAGATGGTCTTTGGCAAACTTCAGACGGGCCTGGACATGTGATGACTTGAGCAGGGGAACCTTCTGTGCAATGCATGATTTGAAACCATGACGGCGTAGTGTTCTACCGACAGTGACCTTTGAAACTGTGGTCCCAGCTCTCTTCATGTCATTGACCAGCTCCTCCCTTGTAGTTCTGGGCTGATTCCTCACCTTTCTTATCATCAGTGATACCCCACGAGGTGAGATCTTGCATGGCGCCCCAGTCCGAGGGAGATTGACAGTCGTCTTTAGCCTCTTCCATTTTCTAACAATTGCTCCAACAGTTGATCTGTTTTCACCAAGCTGCTTGGCAATTGCCCCGTAGCCCTTTCCAGCCTTGTGGAGGTCCACAATTTTGTCTCTGGTGTCTTTTGACAGCTCTTTGGTCTTGCCCATGGTAGTAGTTGGCGTCTGACTGACTGTGGGGTGGACAGGTGTCTTTAAAGAGCTCAGACAGGTGCTACTAATTTAGATTAATGAGTGGAGTAGAGGTGGACTTTTTCAAGGCACAGTAACAGGTCTTTGAGAGCCAGAATTCTTGCTGTTTCTCAGGTGTTCAAATACTTATGTTCAGCAGTGCAAGACAAATAAATTCTTTAAAAATCATACAATGTGATTTCCTGAAATTTTCTTTTTAATTCTGTTTCTCAGAGTGGGAATGCACCTACAATGTGAATTTCAGACCCCTCCATGATTTCTAAGTGGGAGAACTTGTAAAATCGCAGGGTGTTCAAATACTTCTGTTCCTCACTGTAGTTAGATCAGGTCTGGGCCTTTCATTTTATTTCTTATTTTTAAATGAGTATATGGGTGTCCACACCATTTTTTTCAGTTTAGTAAAAGTGAGCATCATGATCACATGGCAGCAGATTTTGAGCACATTCTTCAACTGTGTTGGAATTTTGACCTGTATACAAATGCTGCTATAATTTAGTTCTGGATTTCCTCACGGATTTGTTGGTGTTTGATTACATACAGTAATTACTTGCATACAGTTTTGTTTGTACTGTATACTCCTGTATGGTTATGACATAAAATATGCTAATTATAACCTTTTGGAAATTGATGCTTTCTTTGATAAATATTTTGAACTGTTGAATGGATTACTACCACAAAAACTGACACTCATCACTGTCATCTGTACTTTTTGATGTGGTTCAAGACATCCTCACACAGCTGCCAGACTCTTCTGCTTTTTCTTCCATTTGCCTTTATTCTTTCTGTGAAGTACTTTTACTGTGCTTTTTGAAAATGGAGTTAAACTGGGACTGTTGCTGCTGATGCTCTCTTGACTGGTCAGTTTAACCTCACTGAAAATCAGGCTGTATAGTGGAGGCTTCCCTCTTTACAAATGGAATCAGGGGTCAAGGTAAGGCACTCCCACCTTCTCACTGACTGGTTTTGCTTAATACTGCTATTTCACTCTCTCTAGCCTCATTCTGGGTTGTCATGGAAATGAAAGCACAGGGAGGGGGGGACTTCTATTATTGCAGCAGTGGTGGGATTGGTAGTGGGCTGGGAGTTGGGTATAGTGAAATGGAGCGATTCATACACTCAGAGTGCGGTGGAGCAGAAGGGAGGTGGAGGGGTGAGGGAGACAGAGACAAGGAAAAGGAGAATAGAGAGGGGCCTTGGGGGTGAGCAGAGAGAGGAGCCAACTCCACGTGTTTTTGGCTCTGCTTCTAAGTGACCGCACATTTTAGGCAGTTACGTCATGTCCCGCCAGACTCTGCTGTTTGAGACATACTGCTGCAGAATCGCGTTCCTCATGGAAGATGGCAAAATGAGCCTCTGGTAAAGCCACCTGTTGTTGTGGCCAGCATAAACTGTCGATGAAAGAGTAGTGCAAGCAGTGGTGATCTGTGTTAACTGCCATATGGAGAACAGTTTAAAGTAATTTAATATAAAAATACATTTTACAAATCAATGACACAAATACTGTGTCATATATTGGTTGACCTTGCACACAGCAAGGGCAAGATGCTTAGGTTTAGATTTGACAATAGTCTTTCATCTAAAACATGCATATCACAAGACTCTTGGATGTAAAAACTTACAGGACAGCAAGACCTCTTAGCTCAAGTCAAAAGTCCAGCCCACAATGAGGGGCAGGCTAAATTCAGATGATTCGGACCAAACTGTGCTCTTTTTCCCAGCACCCTAGAGAGAAACACAAAGAAACAGGCAACTCTCCCACACTCATCTCTCCCCCTGCATTTACACACAGTTTGACACATTATGTAGTGCTTGATTAAATCACACTACAGGAAACAAAAGACAACGTGGCCATAAATTACGTGAATTTAGATGCTCTCTACAGGTGACGATGACCTTTGAACCCACTGAGTTGAAATGTGATGTGATAAAAATAGTGTTGTTTCTGAAACCAGACAGACTAAATCAGGAACTGTTCAAGTCCATCTCTCGTGATGAGGCTGTGGGATTACATAAACTGTCCTTGCTAAATGCCTTATAGATGAAGTCATTGTATTTCAGCAGTAGATTTATCATAGATAATTAGCCTCATATCCATCCTTCTATTATGCTACCCCACCCTTCCTGCTTAAAATGTTACTGTTTGCTAAAGGCAGTGACATTATATTCAGTAGCCTTTCTAACACAGCCTGGGTCTATATTATCTGCAGACATTCTGAACATTCCTACTATTATTTCATTACCAGGATGAGGGTTACCCTTGCCATTCACAGCATCTGACCTTTAGGCTCACTGGCAGTGGTGGTGGAATAGAACGTGTGAGAGAGATAGGCACTCCTTCCTTTGCAGAAGTGCAAGAAACCTTTAGTAGATGACAAGCTGTTTAGGTTTTCTGGGAGATAATTCAGAACTCTTGTTTGTGTTAATGTAGTTGCTTTTTCAATGTACTATTTTGAGTAAATTCTAAAATTACTAATTCTGTTAGAGTATGTACTTTGCTTTAGTGGCATCATGATGTTAATATTCGTTGTTTTGAGTAAACTGTCTAAACAACAAGTGGATGGATCGCCATAAAATTTATAGAAACTGATATAATCTGCAGGATGAATTGTAGTGTAATAATCCTTTAACATTATGTCAGTCAACATTTTAAATGGTACAGTAGATACCTGCTAAATTAAAGGGTATAAATTAATGAAATTTGCATCAGCATCAATTGTACTCTCATGCTAATTAGCATATTATAGCAGGCTAACATGCTAAGCTAAGATGCCTAACATGGTAGACATTACCGGACTAGGCTCCTTATCTCTGAACTATATTTTGAACTTTTACTGAGCACTTTTCAAAAGACGTAGGCTTACTTTTATGATATGTAAATCAAACATTAATTTCATCTGGGCAGAATGTTGCTGTATTCTTTTTATCCCACACTTTTTGTTCTCATGGGGCTTTTGTCCTTCTAGTCAGACTTTACATTGCCACAACTGCTGAAACAACCCAATGCTTAAAGAAGTGCAAATAAAAAGACACAAGAGCAGAGAGCTATCTTTATACAGATAAGCCCAGCAGCTGTCTTTTTATCTAGAATACCAGGTGTCCCATATGGTCTGTTACTGGATTTGAACCCTTTCTTCTTTTCCCTTTTAACTTGCTTTCTTTGCACTACCATCTCTCCAAAAATTATTGGTTTCAGGATGTGTTTACTGATGCAATCATGGTCTCTTAGTAGTGACTTTTGTTTACCCTCTTATTCCCAATATTCTCTGATAACTGCCTTCTTTCAATGCATGAAGTGCTTGATGCGATCAGTGGCAGTTTAATGAATTTTGGGGGTGGGGGGGTCTGTGTTAAGTGAGAAGTGCAGCTGCAGCTCCAAAATCAAGTCCTTTCTTGAGCACTGAGGAATAGATGGAGGAGGAGGGGGGTCCTTCACTTCCTGTGTTCAGGGAGGTCACACAAGCGCTTCACTATGGAGATGACACAGATTCACAGGTTGCTTATGGTGAGAGGGATATGAGCAGAAAAGCAGCTAAAGACACTAGAATGCAAGCATGTGTATTCTAGTTACTACTTCATTACTATTATACTTTAAAAAGACATGCAACATTTCAGCACACTAAAATGGAGATCAGCTGTGCTATTTTTTTATTTGCATCCATCATATATTCAATTAGCACAGCGTGGTACAGTGTTCTGTGATAAATAGACATGTCTTCTGAGGCATGCTTTCATCTCCCGCAGTTTAATTTTCCTATCAAACTGCTGGCTCAAGCACTTGGTCTACTGTCTAGTATGCAGGGTTGAATAATAATGGCTTTTTTGTAGCATTATCACATATCTCATAAAAATGCAAAGTTGTCCTTTTTATGGTAAAGTATAAAGTATCCATAATTCAAAAGCCCAATATAAATGTCATAGTTTTTAAAAATATATGAATGCTGTTGGTTCAAAATACTTTTTTTTCCCCAGAAAACAGTGTTTGTGTGCTAGGGTGTACATGGATTGGACCTTGGTATACAAATGAGAACAAAAGCATGAAAGCTTTGGAGGGGTTCAATATGTTGGCAGCACAAAAGCTATAAAAATACATCTGCAGAGCATTTGGAAAGTAAAATGTTTTGTTTAATTTCCTATACATTTTGAAGTACAAAGTCCATAACAGCTATAAAAGCTACTGTTTATCTCCAACATGAATCATTTCAGTATTTGATTAACATCTGCACATCAGAGAATATGATATTAAGACAGGATAATGATGTCCAATTACAGCTTTCATTATGGTTTT